CGACGTTTCGAGCGTAACTCGGTCGAGAAGAGGGAGGGGGAGTGAAAAAGTTGGTCGGGGCGATCGTGTTTACTCGGAACGGAATATCCCCGTTAAATTAACGGATGGAGTCGTCGGTGGAGGTTGACGGTACGCCGCGAGACGCACAATTTTCGCGCTCGTTCGGGATAAAACGAAGCTTCGAGGCCGTTTCGAAGTTTCGAGTGTGAAACCTGGCTTCTGCAGCTGTGAAAGTGTGTGTATTTAAACCAGGCGTAATTTATTTTACGTCATCCCGTCTCTTCCCATCATCTTCTAATCCCCTTCCCAATCAAAGATTCCTCTTCATCGCGAAAAAGAACAAGGTACACCAGCAATTTCGACCAAGTGTCAACTAGTTTTACTTTAGTCGACCATCCCCCACGATTTACGCTGCAATTTCTCGTACCGAGAATCTCGTGCAACGACTCGTACTCGCCGCTTTCTCCTCTTCCCTGCTCTAATTTTTTTCCCCGCCTCTTCAAGGAAAAAAGTGGTAGTTTTCGAAAAGGACTGTTCCGAGAAATCCTTCAACGCCACACACTCTTGGCAATTTCAACCGCCTTGAAATTACATCCAATCTGGTCCGCTTTAATACCGGCGCGAAAATAGAGGAATTCGAATAGATTAAGGGGTGAAAATCGGAGCTCTGCTTATAATACGAGCCGCAAGCAGGCCGCGACGAAAGAAGAAATACAAGACGTCGTCGGCTTAATCTTCATCCCTTAACGAGGCGGCCCAACGAGAATCCCCGAGAATCTGAAACATCGTTTAAGGAAATCTTGCCTTAAGTCGAGCACCGTACCGTTTAACGCAATTGGGGCTCATTTAAAAATCCCATCAAAAATGTACTTGGAAATATCTGCGTGCTCCCGAGTTCTCGCTTCCTCCCCACTCTTTCTCTCTCCTTTCGCTGTCACTGTATCAACCCTCCTCCTCGGGGCTATTTCCCCACGCTCCACCCTTTCCCTTGATCCTGACCAACTCCCCTTCCTCCTTTCCTCGCCTTCCACGTCTTCTCGCGCGATTTTTCTCCTTCCCTCGCTCTTTTTTCCCCATCTACCAGTCATCCTTTTTTTCTTCTTCTTCTTCTTCTTCATCTTCCTCCTCCTCCTCCTCTTTCCTCCACTTTCTCCTCCTCGCCTTCCTTTTCTCCCGTTTTACTTCTTCCATTTTACTACCTCCTCTCGAGCCGACGAACCTCCGAGACACCGAGGGAAGGAAAAGCGAGGGGCGGAAGGGGAGGGGCCGGTGATTGGATTGTAAGCTCAATTTACACTGCCTTCGGTTTCCAGTTCTCTTTTTTCCGAAACGGCGCAAGCCCGAGCCTGGGCCACGCTCCCTCTGTTCCACTGTTGTTTCAGAAAGTTTTAGAGTTTCGAGAGCGGTCGCGAATATCGCGGGCAAGTACGACGAGACGATGGATAACAAAGCGCCGTTATAATGACCAGGGACTACGAAGAAACTTTCGACAAAGTGAAATTGACTGTACACGATATTTCGTCGTATTACCTCTCTTTTACCTCTCACACAAGCGAAACAGTTTTTTTCGTTACACGCCCTTCTTTTTCTCTTTCCTATCTTCTTTCTTTCCTTTTTTTTCTTTCTAGCCAGATCCACCGAACCTCGACCGGATCTTTTCCAGTATTTCGGCCAAATTTCCCCGCGTTTCGGCAAAGAGGAACGTTTCGAAAGTAAACCTAGTGCTAGCTAACGAATCCATTGTTCCCGTGATTTCTCTAATTCGCCTCCCGATTCGACACCCTTCCACCCATCTGCGATTAGACCGATGCCCCGCGTGGAACGAACGAGAGCGAGCAAAGTGGAGGAGAGATACACCATCAGAGGAGATTGGGTGAAAGAGAGGAAGAGGGAGGAAGAAGGAAAATGGCACGGCAAGAGTCAAGCGTGCGTAGAAAAATTGGAAACGGAGGAACATGGGAACTCTGAACATGCACGAATGATTTTGGAACTCGTGCGAGTAAATCAGACGAAACTGTGGTGAAAGGGATGAGAT